ACCTCCCATTGGCTAATCAGCGAGATATGCAAATTAACTGCCAACAAAGATGGCGGTCAATTTGCATACGTAGGCACGAAGCGGCGGAGAGAGACTGAAGGCAGCTCCAGCCAGAACAGCGAAGCTTGAAGGCGACTCCGGCTGGAGCGAAGCGCTGAGTCCTGGGGTGCCGGAAGAAAACCGGTGCCCGGCCAGCCCAGGAAGGGAAGGGATTGCACGAATCTTTTCGTGTTTCGTGCAGCAGGCCCTCTAGTCAGTTTATAATGGTCTTTATTATCCATAAATGAGTGAGATCATGTGGTATTTTTCTTGCATTGACTGGCTTATTTCACTTAGCATAATGCTCTCCAGTTCCATCCATACTGTTGCAAATGGTAAAAATTCCTTCTTTTTCACAGCAGCATAGTATTCCACTGTGTAGATGTACCACAGTTTTTTAATCCACTCATCTGCTGATGGGCACTTAGGCTGATTCCAAATATTAGCTATAGTAAATTGTGCTGCTATGAACATAGGGGTGCATATATCCTTTCTAATTAGTGTTTCTGGTTTCTTGGGATATATTCCTAGAAGTGGGATCACTGGGTCAAATGGGAGTTCCATTTTTAATTTTTTGAGGAAACTCCATACTGTTCTCCACAGTGGCTGCACCAGTCTGCATTCCCACCAGCAGTGCACGAGTATTCGTTTTTCTCTGCATCTTCTCCAGCACTTGTCATTTGTTGATTGTTAAAAAATACTATGAACAACTCTACTCCAACAAACTAGACAACCTGGAGGAAATGGACATATTCCTAGAAAAATACAACCTTCCAAAACTCAATCAGGAAGAATCTAAAAATCTCAATAGGCCAATAACTGTGGAAGAAATTAAAGCAGTCATCAAAAAGCTTCCAGCAAACAAAAGCCTGGGCCAGACGGCTTCACGGGGGAGTTTTACCAAACATTCAAGGAAGAACTAAAACCTATCCTCCTCAGACACTTCCCATTTTCTTATAATTTTTCTGCTTCCCCAACATTATTTTCAACAGTCACTTCTCCATATTATTTTAATTCATTCTTTTACAAAAACCATCACAGGATAGTGCTCTATTTCACCTTCTGGTTTTCTGAATTCCTATCAGAGAATCCTTCAACTTTTCTAATTCTCGTGTTCTTAAAACTATTCATGGTGCCCATCTCTTTTACAGGAACAGGTGATGTGACTGATGTTGGCCTAGGGAAGGGACGGTACTACAGTGTGAATGTGCCCATTCAAGATGGCATACAGGATGAGAAATATTACCACATCTATGAAAGGTATGGCAGTAATGCTGAGCCAGTAACAACTGTATTACATTTCTGTAAGATGAAATGGCCCCAATCTTACAGAATTCTTGTTTTCAAAAAACATTTTGTGGGGGAAAAGGTACTGTATACTTATGTAGCTTTTGTACACTGTTCATTATTCTTAATGGATCAGGTAGCCATCTCCTTTTTGGGAGAGCCGAGTGTTTAGGCCAGAGGCACATTTTTGGTTTGATTTTACTAGCTACCCCATATGACTAAGACCATCCCAAAACCAGAGCTTCTAGGCTGCCTTCGAAGTCCCTTGTCTATTACTTTCTAAGCTAAAACCTGCATGTATGTAATCTCATTAGCCTGGGAAGGTCCTTTTGGGTTTGCTGTTATGTAGATCTGCTTCCATCCACTAGTGCAGTGGTTGGCAAACTGTGGCTCGTGAGCCAACATGCGGCTCTTTGGCCCCTTGAGTGTGGCTCTTCCACAAAATACCACGTGAGGGCGCACATGTACAGTGAGATTGAAACTTCGTGGGCCATGCGCAGAAGTCAGTATTTTATGGAAGAGCTACACTCAAGGGGCCAAAGAGCCGCATGTGGCTCGCGAGCCGCAGTTGCTGACCACTCCACTAG